TTGATGCAATTTGATATATTTTAAGATTTGTGATTTTAACATGGGCTGTTAAAATGTTAATGACAAAAATTCAAATATTGAAGATCCTGCTTCGAAAAATGAAACGTTTCGTTTTCAAAAGTGGAATATATTAAAATGCTTCAAAAAAAAAAAAACAAAAATAATACCAATATTTTTATTAATTTCCGATACCCTGGCTAAACTAAGGTCGAGTATCCCCTTCCTTTCATCTACTCAAGGTATCAATAATTAATAAAAATCACAAAACCAGATTTCGATTACAGTTAATGACTAAATCAAGGATATTTAAGTAATATTTTTATTAAGTGCCCAAAAACAGGTCGTACAATTAATTTTACAAGGATTACCAAAAATTCCGTTGTGCTGTTAAGAAACCTTTAAAACGGTGTAAAAATTCCATTAAAAGTTGAATAATAAAGTAATAAAAATATCGCTTGGAAATTAAAATTTTAAATTGAAAGTCTTTATGTCAATGGACGAACAATGACACAATATTCATTGTAAATTTGAGTGGCAGAATTGATCATTTATTTATTTAGTATGCGTTGGGGGTATTATAAGTTTGATTGGTCTAAAATTTAGATAACACCTTGAAATATTGGTCCTGGGCATGTCAGGATGTTATATGTGGATCTTCCTATCACGCCTAGCTGATACGATCTAGCTGTGTGTATCCGTCCGTCTGTCATGTTAATTTGTAATCACGCTACAGGTCCAATTATGGCTCAATCCCCATGACATTTTGCATGTAGGTGGGGTTAGGGTCAGAATTGAACCTATTGCTTTTGGAGATGATTAAAAAAAAAAATAAAACAGAAAAATGTCCTGATTTTGCAGTAGCTCTACAGGTCGCAATTATAGACCAATCAATTAGGGCTAAGCAGAGACCTGCAATTTCGATTGGCCATCGGGTAATATTTCGCGGGAAAAATAGACCATTACTATTATTTAAAAAAACGAAGGCTTAAACTAAATTCCAGCGGAATCACAAATACAAAACAATTTCTAACCGTCACAGTGTTGCTGATAGCCAAATATCGGATATATATCAAAATAGGTACAATCTACATGTAAAAGAAATTGATGTTAGTTATTCTGCTTATAAGTCCTAAACCGCTGAACTGATTTTGACAATTCTAACCAAAAAAAATCGCTTAAAAATATGCCAACAAAAAGTGAATATTTTTTGATATTGGTTTTATATTTTGTTTTTTTTTTATACTGCATTCGATTGTTTCATTTTCTAAATTGTAGAATTGTACGTTTTGAAAAATGTTTACACCCTACAATGTTGAGGGCATAAAATACAATCTCGCAACTATTTTTGATCCTCCCGAAATTTTGCTTGGGTCTAGGGTCAGAATTGAAGCCTATTGTTTTTGAAGATGGATGTTTAGGGACTCAAACGGACACATTTTTTTTTTTTTTTGATTTTGCAGTCCCTCTTTAGGTCACAATTAAAAACCAGTAGAGTTTAGGATAGGGCAGAGTTCTTGTGTTTTGAAGGACCATTGGATACACCACAACTTTTGAGTGAAAAATTTTTTTTGTATGCCTAGTAGTTAAGTCACACCTAAAATATATGAGTCATGTTAGCTAGATCTCTCCAAAAGGTATACCTATACACCCCATATTTTTATACCCAATTCAGGGTATTATGTCTTGGATCATTTTTTTTTTTTTTTGTCGCATGAAAAAGAAAGTGATGTAGACCCATAGTTATTTTTGACGATCTGCATAGTATCACATTCTGAGCCCATTTAAAAATGTCCGTCCGCCTGTCTGTTCATGCTTTTTGTAAACAAAGTACAAGTCGCATTTATTGTCCGATTTATACGAAATTTTTTACAAATCATTTGTCTGGCTCAAGGTTGGGCGTGAGAATCGGTCAGAATTTAGACGTAGCTCCCATATATATCTTCATCCGATTTTAAGTTTATTGGGTTCCATATGTGTAATATTCCTCCAAATAGGACATATTTCGACAAATACGACCTAATTTTCCTACTTTTGACCCGTTGTGGGGGAGGTACCAGAAGGAGTGGTCCTATACATTCAATCTTCACACCTGATCTTTTTTGTGGGGGAGGTATCAGAACGAGTGAGACGATATATCCATCTTCACACTAGATTTTGTGTTTTTAAAATTTTTTTGATGTGTGAAATGCTTCGTATGCTTATTTCCCATTTTATGGTTATGCAAAATGTTGACCTTTGCGGTGGAGTAACCAGAAGGATTAGGTCTGTATCTATCATTTATTTTCGAGCTACGTGGGTGGGTGTTCAACACTTTATCCCGTTGTGGGAGATATACCAGAAGTAGTAAACCGTTATATATCATATCCACATATCCATATCGTTTCACATTTAATAAGGGTTATACCATGGTAGAATTAAGAAGGTAAAGTCATGCAATCATATGTTTATATTTTTTTTTTTAAATTTATCATTGTCCAAATTTATATTTGTAAATCCATTGTACATACACAAATCAGAGACGGGAAACCGCTTTCCATTCAGTGAAATTTGACTAGCTAAATTGCAGGAAATGCAAAGATGGGAAAGCTTATTTGAAATGACTTTACCTTCTTAATTTTACCATAGGTTATACTTTTTCAAAAAAAAAAAAAAGGCTGTACGAAAAAGTGGACCTATACATACAACGTTCCCATTGCAAACTACAAATACCATATTTTAGACAAAGCCGTGAAAAAATGTGGCGAAAATCATCAAAATATCCAATATCGGGAGGTATCGTACCAAAACTGGGACCGATATATTTAATTTTCAATACCAACCATCCTGGACACAATACAAATTCATGTGCAAAATGTTCCACGTAAAATAATATGGGCTGTATCGTGATTTCGACAGACTGACGGACATCGTTAAATCGACTTAGAATTATATCGTAATTTATGGGGCCTACGACTAATATTTAGGGATGTTACAAACGGGTCTGACAAAGTTAATATATTCAAGGTTACTTGCTTAAGGGTTAACATTTAGACCAAAATAATTCCCCTGTTTTTATACCCTCCACCATAGTATGGAGGGTATATTAAGTTTGTCATTCCGTTTGTAACACCTCGAAATATAAATGTTAGACCCCACAAAGTATATATATTCTTGATCAGCATAAAATTCGAGTTATCAATGTCCGTCCGTCTGTCCGTCTATCCGTCTGTGGAAATCACTCTAGCTTCCGAACGAAATGAAGTAGGTTGATAAAATTTTACTCAAATGTGTACTATATCTACAGTACTTTTGGTATTGAAAATGGGCCATGTAGGTCCACGTCTTCGTATAGCCCCCACATAACGGTACCTCCCGATATGCGGTATTTTTATGATTCTAGCGACATTTTTTACCGGAATTGTATCAAAATTAATATTTAAAGTTCGTAATAGACGCTACAGCATAAAACAGAAAATGAGCCATATAGGTCCACGTCTTCGTATAGCCCCCATGTAACGGTACCCCCGATATTCGGTATTTTGATGATTTTAGCGATATTATTTACCGGAATTGTTTCAATTTTGGTACCTGAAGTTCGTAATAGATACTACATCCTAAGACAGAAAATGAGCCATGTAGGTTCACGTCGTTGTATAGCCCCCATATAACGTTACCCCCCGATATTCGGTATTTTTATGATTTTAGCGACATTATTTACCGGAATTGTTTCAAATTTCGCATTTGAATTTAGCAATGAATACTACAGCCTATGACAGAAAATTGTCTGTGCAGGTCCACGTCTTCGTATAGCCCCCATATAAAATCTTCTGGATTTTTACTGCAATTATTTTTTGTGTTGTGCAGTGTAATTTACACCATTATGATTTATTTCCAAGAGTATATATTTTATTAGCATTTCATCGCTTTCGTCACTTCCTTGATTTTTCAATAAATTCTATTGAAAACTTAAAAACCTCTAAAAATTATCTATAAATCACTGACTCATTTCTGATAGATGAATAGATATTATGGAAAATACTGCAGTATATAAAAACAACAACAAAAAACATGAAATTATAAATAAATAAGTTTTTATTTCAAGTACATCACCACAATCAATTGCGTCAAAGCCCGTAGACACGATCATCATCAATGTTACCAAAAACACAAAATAGAAATGGAATTTGTTAACTTTGAAGGCAATAACAAAAAAAATGTCTAAAAAATAAAAACAATTCAATTTAACACTATCATTTTCCAACAACGAGCAACTTTGATGTCACAACAAATGCGTCGTTTGAAAGTCGAGTAATCACACCAATGCCAAAAAGAACATGGACCTGTCAAATACCCTGGTAATAACATTGGTTTTTTTTTGTGGAAGTGGCCTCTGCAAATTGAAAACTCTAGGCTCTCATTCTTTTTGGCCAACCGATGCCAAATAGAGCAACTTTGCTTGCTTTTGGGTTTGGGCAAAAGAAAAACGTTAACTGAACCTTTGGTTGCTGATAACGAAATCTAAGATATCGCCAACACGATAACAGAGAACGAAACGACAAAAAACGAACGAACGAACGGCTGGTATCAGCAAAAATGTGTGGCAAAAAAAAAACGAAATATTTTCAAACAAAAACTTTTTGTTTTCTACGATTTGTGAAAATTGTGCGGGACACATAGAACGCTTTGTAGCCAAAGGGGGTAGAAAGGGGATGGGGATATGAGTAGTATAGAATGACGTAACGCTATAGATGATAATTCGCCTAAAAATGGTATATCGATATCATTCACCACCATTCCAGGGAGTGTATACAGAGTTGGGTTGATAGCGTTCGGCAGCTAGGAATCGAAATTAGTCAGATATTTGCATTGAAGGTGATAAGTTGGGGTAAAATTTCATTATATTGGGTACTGGAATTCGTAACAAAATAAGGTGCTTCTTTTTCAGTTTATTTCCCTAATTGACATTTTATTCTAATGGATATTTATTTTCTCTCTCTCTCTCTGTTTTTTGTCTATTTCAGATTATTTTATTGCTGAAACCCTACTGGTGCCCCCAGCCCGACGGATAACTCGAATCAGTTGGAGGCATATTTCACGGATAATAGCCGATTTCAACCTCAACCCTCAACAACAAAGAGAGCGAAAGACAATCAACACACACACACACACAAACAAAATGACGAGTTCAACAACGACAAGACGATCTTATACATGGTCATTGGCATTATGCAGCATTTTGCTGGCATCTGTGGCCAGGGCCACACCCGATTTCACAGCCACATCCTCTGCACCCAGCAGCAGCAGCACAGACCATTTTAAGGCTGATCAAAACTATCTCTGCCCCGAAGACTGCCACTGTGTCTTGGCCCACAATACACACAAACCCTTTCTGCATGCCAAATGTTCCTCGCTCAAGGGTCTGAGATCAGATCTGCCACTAACCGCCACGCTGCCCGTACATTCCATTGATTTGTCGTTCCTCAATCTGACTCGCCTCTCACACTCCTTGGAAAAGCTACACGATCTGACCTCTATCGATTTGTCCCACAATGATCTGCACGAAATTGGACATTTGGGTCGCCGCATCAAGAAACTCAACCTGAAGCACAATCGCATTACCTCCGCCAAGTTGGCCAAGATGCCACAGCATTTGCAGACGCTGAACCTTCAACACAATGACATTACCAACTTGCCACGGGAGTTGACCCATCTGAGCCATTTACAAACCCTGGAACTTAGCCATAATCCCATAAACTGTTCCTGTGAAACATTGGAGGTGCGCAATTGGCTGCAGGAACGTCATGTCTTTATGGAACATCCAGTGACCTGTGCCTATCCCCCACTTTACAAAAACAAACCCTGGTTACAGGTCAAACAATCGGTGGTGTGTGAGCAGGAGAAGAAGGGCTGGCTGCCCGAGGAGGAGGAAAATGAATTGATGATGGGCGATCAACCCATTGAGGGTTCCGGCGATGATTTTGGTGAGGAAGAAGAATTGGGCAAGGACTACATGCCGTTGGAATCGAAAACCACCACACCCAAAAATCCCCACATAAGTCTCTTCGATGAACTTGAGGGCTCCGGAGATTTGAGTGAAGTAGCCGTACCCTTGGATATGTTAATGGCCTCGACCACCGAACAGCCTCATGAACACGAAGAACAGGAGGCCACCACAGATTTCCCCGAGGAAGAAGAGGAGGAGGAAGATGGCTCTGGCAGTGGTGGTGGTATTCTCTTCATACCCCATCTGCCCAAGGAACGCGTTATCACCGATGATTTTGAAATGCCTGAATCCGAGGACAAAGATGAAGAAGATGAAGACAATCAACCCATTGAGGAACCAATCATTACTCCAGATATCTTCAAGGAGCACTTGGGCATCTTTGATGGCGATGAGCATAGGCCATCAACAACCGAGGCTCCGGTGTCCGTCGAAAAGGAGCAAACCGAAGAGGAGGTGGTCAAGGCTGAACATGTACCCTCATTGGCTGCCGATCTGCCCGCTCAAGACATCAAACCCAGCACCGAAGGTCCCGAAGCTGATGTTGCCCAGGCCAAGATGGGCGAACCGGACGACAGCAAGGCCACCTATTTGTTGTGGGGAGTTATTACTTTCATTGTTGTTGCTCTCATTCTGTATGTGGCCATTAAACAGTGCAAGAACCGCAGTCGCAACCGCAACGATGCCGAAAATCCTCAAACCGAATTGGTGGCCATGGACAAGAAACAGCTGGGCAAACCATTGCGCAATGGTGTGCCCGAGCATGTGCCATTGATTGGTGAGAAAACCAAATCGGACATGGCCAAGCCCATCAACGGTTCCAAGCCCTATGACAATGGTGATGTCAAAGACGGTCCTGGTCAGCAACAGCCTTTGCTAAATGGCAACGGCGCCTCAGATGCACCAGCCTCCGAAGAGCCTGTCTCAAGGCCAGATTCCCAGTTGCAGGCACCCCATGAATACTATCCCATTTCACCACGTTATCCCACACCACAATCGCCTCGGGCCTCCAAATACAATCAGCAAAATGCCGAGCCCAACAACAACGATCCCGATGCCTATTTACCCTCCTCACCCAAATCAGGCCGTTACTCACCAGTATATTCACCCGTAACGGGACGCGTCAAGATCAAGTTGGGCGAAACACCCAGACCCAAAACACCCATGTTGGTGACACGCAGCCGTTCCAATGCTGGCGATATCATTACCACACCTCTAAGACCTGCCAATCAACCAGCATTGCAAAGTTTCCAAACACCCGAACCAGTGCACACGGCTGCGACAAATGGTCATGCTGGAGCAGAACATCACTGATGGTGAGCATTAAAGGATGATGCGAAGTAAAGAAAACCAATTTATACACACACACACATATACACTTAGATGAAGGATGTGCTCTATTTTTTTAGGAATGTAAGAAAAGCAATGCAGGAGAGAAAGAAATAATTTTTCGTAACGAAAAAAAAAAATGAGACAAGTCATAGAACAAGATTGCAAACGAAGGCATGCAGAGTGAGATAAAAATAAATATAAACTAGAATGGGCGAATAAATAATCCAGAGATAACATTTTAATCACCTGAGAGTGATAAAAAGAGAAATTAGTGTCTTAAAAAATAGCTGTGAAATAGGTACCTCAAACGAAACAATATATTTTTATGTAAACAAGAAATAAACAAAAGAAAATTAAACAATTTTTTCTACAAAAAACAATTAACATATTTTATCTTTTGAATTAGAACAAAGAGACTAATGCCAATTGTAATTAAAGTGGATTTAAATATTTGAGAAGAGAGACATTCAGAATTTCCAAAAAATAGGGGTATGTTAAGCAATCCTGTTAAATTAGCTTATATTTTTATGAATTCATTTGGCAATATTAAAAAAATGAAGCCCGGAATTCTGTTTGCGAAAAAAGTTAATTTTTCAATATTTCTTAATTTTTTAATCAAATTTACATTTAATAGTTTTTTTATTAATTACACTTTTTATAAAAAAAAATTAAAATTAAAAATTCAAAAAAAGTTATTCTTATAAATTTTAGTTTACATTAGTTTACAGAAAATCATAAAATAAGATAAATATTTTTTAAAGTTTTCTTCTTTCACAAGTTAGGATTATAGAAAACTATTAATAAAATATTTTTTTATACCCTCCACCATACACAGTTTGGATGGTATATTAAGTTCCTTATTCCGTTTGTAACTTATCGAAATAATAATTTTAGACCCAACACAGTATATATATTCTTGATCAGCGTAAAAATCTAAAACGATTTAGACCTGTCCGTCTGTTGTAATCACGAAACAGTCAAACTGAATTAAGATAGGAAGCTAAAATTTCGCACAGATCTATCTTTTGTCTGCAGGCAGGTCAAGTTCGAAAATGGGTATATCGGTCCACGATATCGTATAGCCTTCATATAACGGTACCCCCGATAATCGGTATTTTGATGATTTGAGCGGCATTTTTCAACGAAATTATGCGAAAATTCACAAAAGGGTACTTTATCTTTCTGGGTACTTTATCTCCTGAAGAGAATTATCTATATAGGTCAACGACATCGTATAGCCCCATATAACGGTAACCCCACTATATTCGGAATTTTGATGATTTTATCCACATTTTTCAATGGAATTGTCTGAAAATTCTTACAAGAGGTTCCTTGTGAGTACTTTATGCCCTAGAAGAGAAATGTCTATATAGATCCACGATATCGTATAGCCCCCATACAAAGGTACTCCCCGACATTTGGTATTTTGATGATTTTAGCAAAATTGTTCAATGGAAGTGTCTTAAAAGTCACAAAAGGGTTTCTTGTGATTACATTACCACATGAAGAGAATTGGCTATTTAGGTCCACGATATCATTTATCCCCTATATAACGGTTCCTCCCTATATTTGGTATTTTGGTGATTTTTGCGACGTTATTCACCGGAATTGTTTCAAATTTCATATATAGAGTTCGGAATAGTTACTACAGCCTATGAAACAAATTACTTATACAGGACCACGTCTTCGTATAATCCCCATATAAAGGTTTTAATTTCAGCGATAGTTTCCGACGGAATTCTTTTGAAATTCTTCAAGTTTCTTCCAAATCTTAGCTGCTTTTTACTTGTTTTATTTATTTTCAATTAATACAGTTACCTACCCATAGGGACATGGACGATTTCAAAAACTTCTATACCTTACTACTCTAATAATTATTACTATTTTATTTTCTAATTTTTGGAAATTTTTAAAATCCAGGATTATTGAAAAATAATTATAAAAATTGAGGAATATATGATTATATTTTATAGTGTTGATTTTTTTTTCAAATCCAGGATCATTAAAGAATATCTAAACAAGTTAAAAAATATGAGTCGATTTTGCCGGCAGATATATACCCTCAGCCAATGTTCGATTATTTAAATATGTTTTGACTTCTAATTATTCAAATTGTTGACCCTCTACGTAGTGGGTTCCAAAGGAATGGGCCAATATAGTCCATTTCGTATCGGACCGAAATTAATATGATATAAGTATTTTCATTTTCATACTTCATCTAATACAGATAAAAATATTGGTGTGGGCAAAATTAAAAGAATAATAAATAATAAGAATAAATAATAAAAAATCGAAAAATAATAAATTCCACATTCATCTCTGTCTTCTAGTTGAGGCAAATATTTAGATATAGCAAGTTTTGAAAATAGCTGACTCGTTCCGTAAGTCGTAACAGATAAAAGTATTGAAGATTTTGACTTCCTTTTTAGGTGACGTACCAGTCTTTATAAAATATCTTGTGTTGATAGAAATAATGAGATGTGTCATTATGAGCTTCATATAATTTTATTTATAACCTAAATGATATTGAAAATTTTGACCAATTGTGGGGGATGTACTAGAAGGAGTGGACCAATATTGTCAATAATTTTTTTAATTCAAAATTTTTGGAAAAGAATTTTGTTTTTGTGCAGGATTTTTTAAAACAATTCTTAAAATTTAAAAACCTACGACAAAAATATTAATAAATAAAACATTATTTTAAAGTATCAAAAACACCACAGAATCTTGGCCAAGAACCCTTTTTACCAACTCCAAAACTTTATGTCAGAAAGACTTAAAAAAACAAACTTGGTACACTCGCCATGTTATTGTCAAACTTATATCGAGTTGGGAGATGGACAATATCGGTCCACTCCTTCTGGAATCTCCCACACGACGTGTCAAAATATTGGCCAACATAAGTTCAATTTTTGGCCAAATCGGCAGTTATTGTTTTCGGAGTTTTAGTCACATTGGTTATTGGTCTTTTTTAAAAATAAACAATTATATAAAATTTTCGAAAACATATTTCCCGAAAAGCTTTTTAGGTTTTGTGTTTTTTTTTTTTTTTTTTTTTCTAAAAATTTATAATAATTTTTACACAATATTTTAATCTTATTTTTTTAAATTCTTTTTTCTTATAATTATTTCTCAAATACAAATTTATTTATTACATTTTCATTTCTAGATTAAATAAGACACTAACTTAAAAGAAAACTATATCCCCGCAACCCTGTAAAACACCACCGAAGCAGAGGTAGAGAAAGAGATGGAGATCAACCAACAAAATTTCCATAACGGCAACTGGACCTGCTACCTATTCTACACCTTCTCACTCTCTCTCACACCAAACTTTCTCAGTTTCTTCTACGATGTACTAACTTTGCATGGATTTATGAGAATAAGAAAAAAAAAAAGCTGTCATCTATCAAAAGGAAAGCTTTAAGAAATCTTAACCCTTTATGTATAGTGATGGGTGCTTTAAAGACCCCTCCGCTTCGTTGTTCCTGACTTAAAAAGGAAGATTTTTTTTTAGTTTTTTCTTTATTATTATTATTTTTTTTTTTTTTGTTTTTGTCGTTTTTTTATTATTAATTTTTGTGATGATTTATATTAAGATAAAAACAAAACAACTACAACAAAAACATAATATTTTTTGTATTTATTCTTTATATTTAAGTACATAAAATAAAAATCATTTTTTTCTAGAAAACAAAAAACAAAAATATTTTTTTAGTTTTTTCTTAAGTCTTGAAAACAAAAGGGGTGGAATTGAAAGTCTAAAACTAGTTATGAACTAAGAACAGTAACCCAGAACAGTTTTGTAAGCCAAAATATTATTATTTTCACCAGGATATTCCAGTGTTGTGGAATTTTCAATGTTTCGATTTTTCCGTGAAGATAAGGGCCTAATTCTTTCTCAAAATGGCAAAGTAACAATACGACCCTACCGATCAACTAACACAACAGTAACGAAAGTGTGCCAAACTAATCACAGTGCCTTAACCTCAAAAAAAGTAGATCAATTCACATCTAACACACACTTCCATGGAAATCTGCACATTTTGACAATCAATGTAAATTCTAAAAGAACAAATCAAATTTGTAACTACATTAAATGTCACGCACATAAATCTAAACAAAACAAATTAATAGAAATTATTTAACAATTAACTAAACAACAAAGAGAAAAAAATATAGTTCCCTAAATATCAATGTAAATTTTTGTTTATAAGTCAAGATTTGTGATAGGAAACTAATAATGGAAATAACTTGTAATTATTAAAATTAACAAAACAAAAAGCTAAACTATTAGATTTAAGTAAAAACCTAATTTTTATATAAATATACAATAAAATAACAGAAAATAATAATTTTATATAAATTCACATAATGTATCCAAAAAAAAAAAAAAAAAAAAAATACCAACTCCTTAAAGGATTAATATTTCAGTAAAAATATATTTTATTTCTTTATTTTTAAATGCTATAAAAATAATAACATTTTTGTTTAATTTTCATAATGATTTTTGTTTTAATTTTTATAAATTCTAGTTTAATACCAAAGTTTTTTGTAATAATATTTTTTTCTTTTTATATATTCTTGATAATTATTTTCAGCAGCGTGTTTTTGTCTTGTAATTAAACTTTTATTTTTTTTTTAAATAAAATAGTTTTCATAAATACACATACATACTCTTATAGTTGTGTAATGATCTAGGTACGAGAGTTTAATTAATTTTTAAATAATAGTTATGTATTTTTTTTTTTTTTGTAAAATTAAGCTATACATAATTTTTTTGAGTTTTTATTAAACTAATTTTAAAATGTTTATTTGTTCTAAGATCCCTCTAATTAAATATTGTGTTAATAATAAAGAGAGTTAAAAATAAATTTAAATTAAAAACCTAAATATTATTTTTTTTATTGTTGCGATTTAAGTGGGAAAACTTTGGGTGGGGTGTGACAAGTAATCATGGGTCCCATACAAGTGCCTGACAGATGACTGATCAATGTCTGCAATTAACAAATTAAAAGGTATCCGTCGCTTTTGCCGACAGATGTATTCCCTCAGTTCGTTTATTTAAATATATTTTGACTTGTCTTATGATAATCCAAACCGTTGACATGGAGGAGTGGACCGATATTGGAATGTCTCATGTTAGAAAATAATCGGGTGCTCATTTCGCGTTTTATAAGCATCATAGTTAATCAAAATTTTGACCCTTTGTGTCACCCTCACACCAAATTATGTGTTGATAGAAGTATTGTGTATGAGAATTTTGAAGAGAATTGGATCGCAAATTATAAGAGATATTAGTAAACAAGTAAAAAAGCTGTAAGTTCGGCCGGGTCGAACTTTGAATACCCTCCACCATTTGGAACGAATTTGGCAATTCTCAAAAACAATAAAATCCGTTCCTCCACCATTTGGAACGAATTTGGCAATTCTCAAAAACAATAAAATCAGTTAAAAATTCTATTAAAATCTTAAAAATACCGAATGTAGCTGTTATATTAGGGTCTATACGACGACATGGATAGGTAACATTTGTCATAAGCCAATACAATACTCAAATCCGAAACATAAAAAAATATTGGTAACAATGTAGCTAAAATAATCAAAATACCGAATATAGGGAGGTACCAATGACAATTTTTTGTCTTAGGCTGTAGTATCCATTACGAACTTCAAATACCAATTCCGGTGAATAATGTAGGTAAAATCATCAAAATACCAAATATCGGGAGGTACCTCTATATCGGGCTACACGAAGGCGTGGATCTGCCCAGACAATTTTCTGTCTTAGCCTGTAGTATCCATTACGAACTTCAAATACCAAATTTGAAAGAACTCCGCTGAATAATGTCGCTAAAATAATCAAAATACCGAATATCGGGAGTTACCGTTATATGGGGGCTGTACTAAGACAATTTTCTGTAGTATCCATTGCGAACTAAAAGTACCAAATTTGAAACAATTCCGGTGAATAATGTTGCTAAAATCATCAAAATACCGAATATCGTGAGGTACCGTTATATGGGTGCTGTACCAAAACGTGGACCTACATTTCCCATTTTCAATACCAAAAGTCCTGTAGATATAACATACATTTGAGTAATTTTTTTATCAATCTACTTCAATTCGTTCGGAAGCTAGAGTGATTTCCACAGACGGACAGACGGATAAACGGACGGATATCGCTAAATAGACATAGCATTTTATGCTGATCAAGAATAAATATATTTGCGGGGTCTAAAATGTATATTTCGAGGTGTTATAAACGGAATGACAAACTTAATATACCCTCCATACTATGGTGGTGGATATGAAAATTTAACCCTTTGTGGGAAAGGTACCAAAAGGAGTAGACCGACATATTCCTATAATTGAAAAGAATAGAATTCTTATTTCGCCTTTTATAAGAGTTATATTTTTTTTTTTTTTTCAAATTTTGACCCTTTGTGTGGGAGATGCATGTTGGAGTGGACCGATATTGCCTATTTTCGTACCTGCCCTAGAACTGATACAAATATTAGAAATTAGAAAGTTTGCACAAAATTTGATGATACTTTCGTAATATATTCGGTAAATTATTTATGGTGAAAATGTGGACTTTATGTGGGGGAGTTACCAGAAGGAGTGGACCGATATTACCCATTTCCGAACTCGATCTCCGCAAGTTACGACCTTATAAAATGATATATACCCTTACATGGCTGAGGGTATAAAAAAGGATCAATCAGGTCCAATATCTACTTTTAAATTAAAAATAAAAACAGCACTTATAAACTCTGGTAATCAAAAATAATTGTTTATCCCAACATATTGAGAGATCTTTAAACAGAGTGACATCTATAGCTTATAACACCTACCATTAATGCTGGACCGTTTTCCAACAAAATGTGAGATTGGGCGCCATCTATATTTGATTTTTATATTGCAAAATTCTTTCAGCTTTAATTTGCCGAATGTAGAGTTTATCGGATCGGCGACATCTACACTTTAATCACAGATGTATAATTTCCAATGCTTTAATTCAGGTTATTGTCAACACTATATAGCAAAGAACAAAACCAGGAAATAAAACATAGAACCTATATTTGGTGTAATTATTTTTAACGTAACGTAAGCCATTACGACAGGTAAATGCATGGTACAATAAAATAAAGGTGGGCCATATGATTTTAATTTTTTCATTTTCGTGGCTTAATATGACAACATTATTTGTTTATGTGTACGTATTCTTTTCAATAACAAAAAATTGTTCAGAAAATATTTAAATTCGTATGTTTATACCCTACAACACTATGTGTTGGGGGTATTATAAGTTTGATTGGGCCAAAAATTATGTAACACCTCGAAATATTGGTTTCCCACATAGGAAAGTATATATGGATCTTCCTAGATCGCCGAGCTGAGTCGATCTAGCTATGTATGTCCGTCCGTCCGTCCGTCCGTCTGTCCATGTTAATTTGTAATCACTCTACAGGTCGCAATTATGGCCCGATCTTCACGAAATTAAGAATGTAGGTGGGGCTTGGACCAGAATAGATCCCTATTGCTTTTGGAGATGATCGCCAAATGTTTAGGGGTTAAAATGGACCAAATACTGAAAAAATGTCGGATTTTGCAGTAGCTATACAGGTCGCAATTATAGACCAATCGATTTTCGCATGTAGATAGAGTTTAGGGCGGGGAAGAAGCCTACTAATTTGGTTGGTCATCGGATAATATTTAGCGGGTAAAATATACCATATCTTTTGTGTTGAAAAAAATCAAAATTTTTCATTAAACCGTGAATATTTTAAATCCCGGCGAAATCACAAAGCCATCACAAGGTTACTTCTGACCTTTACATTGATATTAACATTTAACAAATCGGATATATAGCAAAATATGTGCGATATATATGTTTATCAAAGAAGATATGCTTGAAAAATCTCTTATATGTCGAGAACGGCTGAACTGATTTCGACAGTTCTCATTAATTCAGAATGGTCTCTTGGAAAAAAATCGCATAAAAATATCTCTCTAAAGATAAAAATATTGATTTTGTAAAATTTTCTCATATTTTTTCAATTTTGTCATATTTTTGGCATATTTTCATTTTGAATTAAACATTTGATAATATTTCTACAGCTAACAAAACTAAGTAGTTAGGATATCAGGATATCATATACAGATCTCATTTATGGCCCGATCCTAACGAAATTTGGCATGGGGATCAGATGAGGGTCAGAATAGAAGCCTACTCCTTTTGGAGATGATCGCCATATATTTAGGGGTTGAAATGGACCAAAAAACTGCAAAATTGTCGGCAGGTCGTAATTATCGCCCGATCCTCACCCACATTTGAATGGGGGTTACCGCACATTGCAAAAGCCAAGCAGTTTCGGATGGCCATCCAAAAATGTTCAATGTGTGAAGGAGTTTGCCAACTTTTGAAGACAAAATACGAAAATGTCCATTCCAGTGACTTTTTGGAGAATTCACAAATACAGGAAAGATGCACTTTTGACTATTTCGTTAACGCTGATATCGTTGAAGAATATAGTCAAATGTCTGTATCTCATATAGATGCGTTTCAGTCAAAAACCAATAATAAATGTTAATCTTGTGCCACTTCTGAGAGGTTATAGGTCTTTGGGAAATATTGGTTCCAGATCTAGAAAGACCATTTAAGTGCAACATCTACCAATAAATTGAAAATGAGCAAATTAGTTTAAGTTGCTATTATTCGAAAATTAGAGAACGAAACCTGATGGTTTTCTTTTATTATTTGTCACAATATCTTGTGGAATTCTTTCGAGTATTTCGCCTATATAATCTGTATCGTTTATTATAGTGTTGTAGGGTATTCAACGGTCGGCCCCGCTCGACTGTAGCCATTGCTTACTTGTTTTAAAATGCTTATTGCAACGTATGTATGTATCTACAGTTTTTGCAGCGAAATAAACCTTTAGAGATATATAGAGTATGATTTTCAAAATAAATGTTGACCTTTCATTCAGTTTTCGAGGTTTTCAACTATACATTCAAAATCAATACAAAAAGTTGTTTGGTTTTTTGATTGTTTTGATAGTAATTCTGACATTACAAGCCAAACAGGTATACCCTCCACCTTAGGGTAAAGGAAACATTTTTATATAAAAGAACCTGAATTCAAGCGTGTTTCACTATAAACTTCATAGACCAGTAAGACCGTTTGGATAATGCAGATAAACTTTAAAAAAAAAAAAAAAAAAAAAAACATAAAGTGAGTGAGGCCGTTATATGGGGGCCATACCAAAACGGGAACCTCTATAGACAATTTTATACTTTAAGGATTGTCATCTACAAAATTTTCTTAAACACCAAATTTGACACAATTATGGGGGTAAATGTAACTAGGATTATCAAAATACCAATTATACGTGCCTATAGTTATATGTGCGCTATAGGTAAACGTAGAACTAAATATTTAATGTTCTCCTACCGGGCTAGAACCCATTATGAACTAAAAAAACAATTTTTATCAAAATATCGAGCATCGGCAGGTACCGTTATATGACCAATGTTCCGCCACACGAGCTACAACCCATTACGACCCACGAATGCCATCTTTTGGACAAATCCTTTAAAAATGAGCAAAAATCATCCAAATAACGAATATGGGGCTATAAAAAAACACCTGGACCTATACATACAGTGTTTCGCCATACGAGCTAGAATCCATTGCGATCCACGAATGCCAAGTTTTAGACAAATTCGTGAGAAAATGTATCAAAAATCATCAAAACACCGAATATCGGAAGGTACCGTTATACGTTGCTATACAAAAAACGTTGACCTATACATACAATATTTCGCCACCGAAGCTTAAATCCATTATGACCCACAAATAACAATTTTTAGACAAATCCGTGAAAATTTGTGGTAAAAATCAACAAAATAACGAATATCGAAAGGGGTACCGTTATATGGAGACCACACCAAAACGTTGACCGATATACATATCTCATTTTCAATACCAACCATCCTAGACACAATAGACACAATTGTTCTGCTATGTTTTGACACTCTACGTCAAAAAATGTGGGCTGTGTCATGGTACAATGAAGAGAAGGTAGGTCAACTTTGAAAAAATTGCAAGTATAGAGGTCTACCTGTTTGGCTTGTAATGTCAGAATTACTATCAAAACAATAAAAAATCAAACAACTTGTTGCATTGATTTTGAATAAATAATTTAAAACCGCGAAAACTGAATGATAGTTCAAAATTTCTTTTCAAAATCATATTCTATATATCTCTTATGGTTTATTTCGCGACAAAAACTGTAGATTTTGTCGATGCATATGTTGTAATAAGCATTTTGAAAACACCCGAATTTGAATATTTTCTGAAAATTTTTTTATTATTGAAAAGAATACGCACACATAAACAAATTAAGTTGACATATTAAGCCAGAAAAATGAAAAAATTGAAATCATATGGTAGTTCTGCCCTACCTTGAATTCATTGTACCATGGGCTGTATCGTGATTTCAACATACAGACGGACATCGTTAAATCGACTTAGAATTTTATGCTGATTATGAATATTTGTACTTTATGGAGGGATGTTACAAAGGAAATGACAAATAAAATAAAAAAAAACAATTAGATGGAAGTTTATTGGTAAAAAGAAATAAAAACGTCACCTGAAAATCCACTATGAATTAAACAAAGACAGAAAAGTCGTAAAAACACTTCTTAAAAATATTAAGGCACCATAAGATGAAAATACATAAAACGCTTTTTTGACTGCCTCATCGTCATAAGCTGGCTTCTTCATAAAAGAAAAACAGAGCGTACGGTTAACAAGTATAAAGTATGGGCCAAAACAACCTTTGTTATTTTACCAGGGTGAAATTTCATGTCGATTTTGAAATGCTGCCTATATTTTAATCGCAATTAAACTATTGCACCTTACGGTAAAAATTCCTCCATGTTTTCGTTATTTTGAACTTTTCTCCTACTATTAATAATTTCCAAACAGATAGCGCATAAAAGTTGACTCTTTGTATAAATTTTTATACCCAACATCAGAGTGCTATGGGAAATTTTTGGATTTTTGTAACTTGTACCAGGAAATAAGATATGTCCATTCTTTCGCTTGATGATTTTCATAGAATCACATCCTGAGTCGATTTATGCATGGCCGTCCATATATTTTTATACTCTCCACAATACTTGGAGGGTATATTAACTTTTTCATTCCGTTTCTAACTCCTCGAAATACTCACGACAGACCCAAGAAAATATATATACCGTTTAGCGATGCCCGTCTGTGTGTCTGTTCGTCTATCCGTCTGTTGTAATCGCCCTATCTTTCGAACTAATTGAGATAGAAGGCTAAAATTTTGCATACATGTGTATTTTGCCAGCAAGTACGTTAAGTTCGTGAATGAGCCATGTCGGACCACGTTTTCGCATAGCTCTCATATGAAGGTTCGTCCCAATATTGGGATTATTTTAGCTACATTATTTCCCGAAATTATTTCAAATCTCTCATTTAAAGATCTTAATAGATACTATAACTTCTGACAAAATTACTTATGCATATATCCCGGTATCACCTAATATTGGTTTTTTATGATTTTAGAGACCTTATTTGCCGGAATTGTTTCAAATTTGGTATTTGAAGTTTGTAATGGGTACTATGACAAAATAATTGTGCATGTAGGTCCACGACTTCGTATGGCCTACATATAACTAGATATGAAAACACTACACCCAACTTCAGACTGCTGCCATTCCTCGCGACTCGTCCCACAGCTGTTAAAATTATTTCAGTGACAGCTAATTAAATAAGTATACAATAGCATTTTGGTGATAATTTTCCACAAAAAAGTTATTCGTGATGGAATTCAAGCATGATATTGTGATTTCTTTATTTTTGGCTGGAAAACCACAAGTGGCTATCGTTAGAGCATTCCAGCATTGTTTTGTTTTTTAAGAATATTTTTAAAATTTCTCATCCAAAATCTTATTATTATTATTATTTATTTATTTATTTTTTTGTTTTTGATGGATGAATAGATGGATTTCCTTTTAAAAGATCTTAGATTTTTCTGCATACTTTTGTAATAAACATCCTGGAAAAAGTGTTATTTCATTAAAACATTTTGAAAACCTCCAGCCGAAAATCTTGAATATTTTGAAGAGACCTCTGGGCCACTAATCAGAACGAAATTTAAGTACATTAACATTAAATTGTTCACAAAAAAGTCGTTTAATAAAAAACTGTAATTAACCATACAAACTAAGAATACTATGTTATTTGATGACTTAAAACATAATCCTAAAACAAAGTCTCACGCATGGGTCGATGCACAACCACTATGGGTTCGTCTTCGGAGCTATCACCGGCGGCAGCAGCTGCGGCTGTAAAATTACCACTTGCCCGTCGACTTGAGGGATTTCTCAATTTCTTTCGTCTGGCCTTAATTACATCTTGATCCGCACTTGAATCGGATGATATATTGCCATCTTTCAGCGACACAATATCTGGTTCTATGATTACATGGAAATCACTGCCCTGTGGTGAATCTTTTTTCTCCGGCTTGGGTGAATCTCCAAAGTAATCTTCAACGGCGGGTGTAAGGGGTACTCCCGGTGCCATACTCTTCTTCGGCTTGCGTTGGGCAAACGGACTATTCGGCTTACTGGGTATATCATATTCGGGATCTGTTAAAAATTCAACACTATCTGAACGAAGATTTGCCCGTTTGAAGGGTGGAATTTCGGCAATCTTTGGTTTTCGCTTTGTGTACGGACTGTTTTCATAGCTCTGAAAATTACCAATTTTTTCGGCACTTTGGAGATTTTGTGATTTCATGTGGGCGGGAGGAAAACGTGAATCAAATATGGCGGGTAAATTAGTGCCCGACGGATTGTAGGTTATGTGTCCTGTCCGGCGAGTCGGATCAATTGGCTGTACACGTTCTTTGTCGCGATTCGAAAGCATTTCCTCGCTACGAAAACGGGTACGATAATCAAGATGGAGATCTGGCTCAACTTCGGAAATGTCTTCTTCGGGATTTGTTCGTGACTTCTTGAAACGGCTTCTACGTGCCGGGGCATCAGAGGTTAGATCAACCATTGATTTAACTGGTCTCACCGGCTTGGGCATACGTATGGCATCTTCATAGGAGGGTAGGAGATTGACTTCAAGATTACTCACAGCAGCGTTACCCGGGCGGGGATCTTCATCTAGAATCCTGCGATTTAGTTCACGTCTGAAACGGTTTTTTTTTAAATTCAAAAAAAATATATATACTTTTCACTCAAAAAAAAAAAATAAATAAAAAAATAAATAAATAAAATAAATAAGTAAATACTCACATTGCCCTCATCTCTTCGTGATTTCTCCTATATTCATCACGATCGATTTGCTTTCTACGCCATGCCATGTATTTTTGGAAACAGGTGAATAGAGCAATAAGGCCCGCAATGGCCAATATACTCAACATTATGGTGGTCCAAATTTTTTGAGCCTGACTAGAACGGGCCCCAGGGACCCACTCTTTCTCACAAGCCGATGCCCAAGTTTTTCCATAGCTACTTGGCGGTGAGGCACATCGTAGGCTGTTGCGATCTTTAATCTAAAAACGAAGAGAAATTATGAAATGAAAGTAATTAGCTTCATTCAAAAACATACCCTGGTTGGTGTTGATGTCAGAAAATCGTGGAAATCAATCAACGTCCTATCTTCACAATTACAAATCCATGGATTGTCGCCAGCATAAATTTCATCTAAATATTTATTCGAATCGAAATACTCCCGTGGAAACGGATTGGTGAAACGATTTCCATTCAGTTTCAATTGTGCCAATTCGGGAAATTTTTGGAATGAATTGTTGCGCAGGGTAGATAATCTGAAAAAGAAAAAAATAAATATTTTAATAGAGATAACATTTAATTTTTTGGTATTAAAAAAGTATATGTTATTTTACATATTTGCTTTCAAAATTTTACTTATAAACTGTGGGAATTTTTGTACCCTCAACCATCCTATGGAGGGTATATTATGTTTGGCATTCCGTTTGTAACACTTCGAAATGTAAATTTTAGACCCCACAAAGTTTTATATTCATAATCAGCATAAAATTCTATATCGATTTAGCGAAGTTCGTCCGTCTGCCTGTTCGTCTGTGGAAATCACTCTAGTTTCCGAACGAAATGAAGTAGGTGGATAACATTTTACTCAGATGTGTGTTAGATCTGCAGGACTTTTGGTATTGAAAATGGGCAAAATGGTTTTGGTATATCCCCTATATAACTGTACCGACAGATTTGAGATATTTTGAGGGTTTTAGTCACAATTTTAACCCGAATTTGCTGTGTGTGTTCTTATTATGTGGGAAACGTCCTTGCATAGAACTGTCAATTAAAGGCCTGCACAAGACGAATTGTATAAATTATGCTTTTTTTTTTGACACACAGAATTTGTCTATTTAATCATGTGCTATGTATTTGATAGACAATGACAACCAACAACATCCCCCATTTTGATTCATGTATGCCATTGTCTAAGGTTCGATCGTGGGATGGCTGACTCGAATATTTGCATGATGTTCTCCATAAATGCAGGGTGTCGACGATGATAACGAACCATGTCATCGTTAAATTGTGTGTCATTTGTGTACGTGTGCTTAAATTGAGAGTGTGTGTGTGTTTCGACGGCGAGGATGTGTTTTTGTGTGTGTTGTAATTTTGAAGTAACAAACACGACATACATATAAAAGTGAGTACGAAATCAATAATTAAAAAATATTCTTTATGACGTAGTTGAGGGCAGAGATATTAAGAAAATTTATCAGTTTTTTTTTTAATAAGGATTGACATTTTGGATTGTTTCTTCAATAACCAAATGTGATAATTTTGTGTAGATCAATTAGAAGTACCTGAAATACTTTATTACAAACCAGTAAAGAAAGTCTTAAAGTCGGGAGGGGCCGACTTTATGATACCCTACACCACTTTGCTAATTTAGTAGAGCTCCACATAACAATTAAAAGTTTTTATGGGAGAATTCAATCATACAAGCTATGATTATGATTATAATTTAAAGTTCAAAGGACTTAATATGCCGAAGCATTTGTATCTTTTAAATTCGGACTTGTGTTGCCCATTTGGTGCACAAATAATTTAAAATCGGATAAAAATATATACAGTGGTTTCTATTTACCTGCATCAACATTAGCTGCGCATTGGCCTTTGCAGACCAAAAAACTTTTTTATGCCATTTTTTTCTGAATCCCTTTATTTGAATTGTATTTAAGTGCCCAATCGATAGCTGCACATTGGACATTCCTGCCTCGAAAATTTGGTAATTTTTTTTTTAATTTGGTTACAAAAGTTGTATTTATCTGCACAAGAAAATTTTTTGCAAACTCAAAGAAGACACTAAAAACTACCACTGCGTTTTTGTTTTTGTATTCGCAAAAACAATAACAACACAAGAAAAGAGCATGCATTAAAAACATATTCTGGCTTCCTCTCCCAAACTAAAAGATGGTTATGCTGGATAAAACACCACTGATGCTCAAATACATATGTTGTGAATTTGTCTCTCTGAGTTTGTCTATCCATTGCTTAACTACTTCAGATGAGCTAAAAGGGAACACTCTTTTGTTTGAAGTTATGATGACGCTAATGGTGAGCATTGCTTGCCTAGACAATTCATGAGAATTATGAATTATTTATTTTATGTTAAATTGTTATGTTTAATATAATTAAACCACTTAATAAATGTATTATAAACTTTAAAAGATTCCCCATTGATTTTGGCTGGCTATTACACGTACGTAAGTAAAATAAAGATTGCTGCTGTGTTGTGCACGAATAGAAAATTAAAGATACCTGAACTTTTTGTGCACGTAAGTAAAATTAAAGATACCAGCTTCATTGTGCAGATAAATGCAATGAAGCTACCTGCATTTTGGGCATTGCTGCACAAGATGTCATGCAATTTTTGATTGTGCAGGTAAGCAAAAAATACTGTATGGGAGCTACATCCAAATCGGAACCGATCTCGATAAAATTTGGCAAAGATATTTCTGAGCTGTATTTGATATATTTCCCTGAATATCGTTGTTTCGGAGTGCATATTACGGTTGTGGGTAACAAATATAACAAATCGGGTGAACAATATATATGGAAGCTATAGCTATATCTGAACCGATCTTCACCAAATTTCACATACTAGCTTCAATGCGGTCGTAAGTGCCAAATTCCATCCCATTTAGACAAATATTAGACGTTTGGTGCACAATAAAAGGTAAATCGGACGAAGTTATATATGGAAGCTATATCCAAATCTGAACCGATCTCGATAAAAATTAGCAAAGGTATTTCTGAGCTTCATTTGATATATTTCCTCAAATATTGTTGTTGCCAAGTGCATATTACGGCTGCGGAGAACAAAAATAACAAATCGGATGAACAATATATATGGGAGCTATAGCTATATCTGAATCGATTTCGATCAAATTTGGCGTACTTATTTTCAGGTATATGCAAAATTCCATACAATTCGGGCTGATATTACACGTTTGGTGCACAATAAAAGGCAAATCGGACGAAGATATATATGGGAGCTATATATAAATTTTGACCGATTATCTTCAATTTCAATAGGGTTCGTCCTTGGGCCAAACAAATGATCAGTGCAAAATTTCATCTTGATCGGGCAATAAATACGACCTGTACTTTGCTTTCAAAAATACATGGACAGACGGACGGACAGAGATGCATACATCGACTCAGAATGTGATTCTATGCAGATCATCAAAAGGAACTATGGGTCTATCTCGTTTCCTTTTGCCTGTTACAAACAAATGCACAACGGCATAATGTCCTGACCACCTTGTGGTGTAGGGTATAAAAATGTATTTTTTCACAAATCGGAAAAATAGGTAGCGATTGCGCTTTGCCTTTATTGCGTGTATGTCTTTCTCGTTCATTATTGTTGTAATTTTTGTGGTAGAACATTTTTGTATGGCACACTATTCAACATCCCCTTTTATTTGTCATTACATGTTATGACGATGGGTTTGAGTCTGACCGACATGACGAGACATCGTTTGCGTTTGATCAAACAGGACACAACATGACGAGCGTTTTCTCTCCATGGCATAAATAGAGAAATATGTCACACTTGCAGCCCTTTACTGTCAATATATGTCTAAGTTTTGGTATATCTCCCATTAACGGTACCTCCCTGTGCTCGTTATTTTAGATGATTTGTTTAAAATTTAGAATCTGGAGTTGCTAATGGTTGCTTCTGTCTGTGACAGAAAACATTCAATGGAGGTCCAGGTCTTCGCATAGCCCCCCCCCCCCCCCCCCATGCAAATGCAGGTCTCCTATATTCGGTAATTTGATGATTTTAGAGTCATTATTTACCGGAATAGTTTCACGTTTCGTATTTGAATAACGTAATGGCCAGTGACAAAAATTGCATATACAGGTCCACCTCTTAATGTAGGCCCCACTATAACGGTAACTCCCAATATTTGGTATTTTTGTGATTTCAACGGTATTTTTAACATTTTTTGTTTTTGAAAATTTTCAAATTACTACACATGGAGGAGGGTATTCAGAGAATACCCTTCAAGATAATATTAAATTTTTTCTGTTTCGGAAATATCACTAAGAAAATGTATATCTTTTACAAATGTTTATCTTTTTTACATTTTTTGTAAAACCAGCGCACAATGGACCCACATCCAAATATTTCTCTCCAAAACTATTTCCACGTCTTCAACCTCGAAGCCATTTGAGAATTTCAGCAGTATCCATTCACCTAAGTTCAAATTTTGTAACATTTAGTACACATATCCAAGACAATCTAGATACCGACAGTGATTCAAAATTAGTACTATTTAGTACTTTTCGTACAATTACCAACCAGAGACCATTTAGTACTTTTCGAACAATTATAGTATACATTTACAAAACCACCTCCACTGTGACATTCATATCAAATTTCAGGATTTCAGTTGCATCCCGTCACCCAATACCAAATTTAGTACCATTTAATACTTTTCGTACAAATGTAGAAAGCATTTGCAAAACACCGCCAATTCTCAAATGAAGATACCATCAGTTATCTAAATATCAAATTTTAGAATTTTTTCTCTATCCGTTCACCCAGTACCAAACATAATACCATTTAGTACATTTCGTACAAGTATAGTACACATTACCGAAACCACCTCCATATGTTCAGGCTCGACATGAATAGCAATCCCTATACCAAATTTCAGATTTCAAGCACAATATGTTCACCCAATACCAAATATAGTACTATTTGGTACTTTTCGTGCACTTGTAGTACACATTTCCACAAACTACCTCTTCATCACCAACCTAAAACGAACAGGGACTCCCACTTTCAATTTTTTTCTCCAAAACTATTTCAACGACTCCATATGTAAATTCTAGAAACCAACAGTGACCTCAGTAACACATTTCAGAATTTCAGCCGTATCCATTCTCATAAGATCAAATTTAGTAACATACAGTACGCATATCCAAAATAAACTACATTTCGCCAACATCCATAGTGATCTAACATTAGAACCATTTAGTACTTATCGAACAATTATAGTACGCGAACTGTACTATAATTGTTCGATCGCCAGGTCTCAACAGAAGATACCAAGAGAGACCTCAATATTAAATTTCGGGATTCCAGCTCTCAGAATTCACTGAGAGCTTTAGTACTTTTCGTATAATTTTTGAACACATTTCCATTTATAAATCCTAGACGCCAACAGTTCGCGCAATAAGAAATTTCGCGGTTTCGGCTCTATCCCTTCACGCAATACCCGCATTTTCAAAGCACCGCCAAATCGCAAATAAAAATACCATCAATAATCTAGATATCACATTTCAGAATTTTATCGCTATCCCTTCACCCAGCACCGAAGATACTACAATTCAGTACTTTTCGTACAATTATAGTACACATTTCCCCACATCTTCATATGTCCAGGCTACACATGAGCAGCGACCCTATTACAAAATTTTGGATTTGAAGCACAGTCACAACACCGAAATGTTGAAAGGAGTACTCCGAAATTGGACAAGACATGCTATTTTTCAAACATTCAATTATATTGACCGTACTATCTATTCGAATTAAGAATTCATGAATGTTTCAGAATTTTATGTTTTTTTTCTCACAATCTTATAGCAATTATCAAATCACCCAATAAAAAAGCAACAGAGACCTCAATATTAAACTTCGGGATTCCAGCTCTATACATTCACTCAATACCAAATTATGAAATTTGACGATTCCTGCACTATCCCTTAGCCCAATACCATATTCAGTACCATTTAGTAATTTTCATATAAATATAGTTCATATAGCTTAGTCCATATTTTCAAAAATGCAGCCGCATCTCACCCATTCACAGAAATAAATAGTGATTTACCATTCAAATTTCAGAATAATGATTTTCACATTATCCTTTATGCCATGATATAGCATTTAGTACCGTTTAGAATGTTCGTACTTACTTCGTTTGAATTTCAAAAAAAAAAGGCCTATCCCGCCCTTGCAACATTTCTGGGTTCTCCCTGTTCTGGATTCGTCTCGGAATAGATATTCCAGTCACTCAGTTACCTCTGTGCTCTTCTATACATATAGAGAGAGAGAATCTTTTTGCTTACCTGCAATAACTCAAATCCAATTTCTGTAAAGTTTCCGACGCCATTCCACTGGGGAAATCACTTATTAAATTATTCGATAAATCCAATTTGATAATGTTCGACAAACCGGAAAAAGCATTGCCGTCGATTAGAATAATTTCACACCATGACAAATTTATGTCACGCAGTGAATTCGATACAATTTTGGTGAATTTTTCAATAACGTTGTGATTCAAATTCAGTGACATTAGATTTTCGTTGGTCTTGAAAACATTGCGATCCAGCCGAGCAATTTCATTGTATGACAAATCCAGCGAAGAGAGTTTTTTCAGTTTCTGAAATGTTTGAGCCTCGAGAAGACGCAAAGAGTTGCGTGACAAATTCACCACTTCCAGGAGAGTATTATTTTCGAATGTTCGACTGGTGAGAGAGCGTATCATGTTGCCACGCAGCTGCAGTTGGGTTAGGCTGGGCAGAGCGGATAGATCGATTTCATCAATACTGCAGTAGGAGAGATCCAATTCGGCCAGAGTTGGTGCCTCCAAACGATTGCTGGCATCTACTTGCAGAGCTGTGTTCCATGGTAGCCTCAATACTGTCAGGGAGGGTAATCCTTGAAGTAGTGACCTTGGAATACGTTGTAAATTGCAGTTTTTCATTTCCAAAATTCTCAGAGATTTCGAAGGCAGCAGGGCCACTCCATTGAGGGGATTATTATTTAAATTCAGTCTTTGTAAGTTTGGCAAGTTTTGCATTAGAATATCACCGCCGGCCTTCGTGATGCCACAATTTTCCAATTCCAAGGTTATCAAGGATTCACTTACAATTGCCTGCTCTGGATTATCCGAGGTGAAGGTACTCAACTCATTTCCACTCAAAATTAAATGTTGCAAGTTGAGGGCATGCGTAAAGGCAGTGCTGGGATTTAAATCCGACCATTGATGTATACTGTTGTTGGCCAATATCAAAGTCCTCAGGGAATCAAAGCCCAACAAAGCATCACTGTCTAGATACTCAATTTGATTGTTGGACAAATCCAAATAGATCAGGGTCTGATAGTCGGCCAAATGTGATGGAAAATTTACAAAATAATTTCCCGACAGCACTACATGTTGCATGGGCATCATTTGAAAATCAGGATAATCGACAAGGGCACGATTGGCACAATTCACTTCCAGGCTATCCAAAACCCAGGAACATTTACAGCTGACAGGGCAAAACATTGCATCTGCCGATGATAGGCTCAAGGCCATTATGGCCATGTAAAACAGGCAGCTGTCTAGTTTCCATCGGGACATTTTTGTTTGTCTGCGTTTCGGCCTTTCGATTTACTGAAAAGAAAATAAAAAAAAAGGTTTTGTTATTATTTCTCTTCTTTTTTGTAGTTCCACGCGGAAATGTATGTATGCGCTTACCAGACCGCGATAAAGAAAAGAATGATTCACTATATAACCAAAGTCTTAAAATACCATCAGCATGTGTTTTTTTAGCTGCTGAACTTTTTCAATTCATTATCAGTTTTGAATGAAAATTATATTTTCAGTGTTTTCATTGTTAACACCCAAAAAAGTATTGGGGCGACATTTTGTGTATTCCGCAGAATTGTTGTATTGCGTTTTTCTAGGGATATTATCTATTTTATTTTTATATTATCTGTTATTGACCTTGCAAACGGCTTCTAAATAAAAAAAAAAAAAAAATAGACAATAACGACATCGTAGAATGAATATTAGAGATTATATTGAACGAAAAATTAAAAAAAAAAACAATCTATAAATGCGAAGAAAAATTTTCAGGAGATATACATATAGATTTTTAGGTCCCGAAATTTACACAATGCTGAGTAATATGGAATAAATACTCTCCAACACAAGAAAGAACCAGTAAGGAAAGGTCAAAAGTCGGACGGGGACGACTATATGATACCCTACACCACTATGCGTATTTAGTAGAGTTCCCGTAACAAAAATGTGATTATTTTGCAGTTTATGTGAAGAAGATCATACCAACTGTGGATCTTATTTGAATGTGTATAATGGCTTTAGAGCAATCACAATTTGCGAAATAAGTCCAACAATGAATTTTCAACAAATTTTACAATACTAGTATCAAAAAAAGTTGCTATATAGTGCATGATATGACTTCGATGAGAATAATATTTATTGGAGCAACATACATGGTGAGATAAAAAAACTGCAACAAAGTCAAACGTCATAATTTTTACATTTTTATACCCTACAACACTATGTGTTGTTGGGGGTATTATAAGTTTGGTTGGCCCAAAAATTATGTAACACCTCGAAATATTTGTTTCCCATATAGGAAAGTATATATGGATCTTCCTAGCTCGCCGAGCTGAGTCGATCTAGCTATGTATGTCCGTCCGTCCGTCCGTCCGTCCGTCTGTCCATGTTAATTTGTAATCACGCTACAGGTCGCAATTATGGACCGATCCTTACGAAATGTTGCACGAAGGTGGGGTTAGGGTCAGAATAGAAGCCAATTTCTTTTGGAGATGATCGCCAAATGTTTAGGGGTTGAAATGGACCAAATACTGAAAAAATGTCGGATTTTGCAGTAGCTATACAGGTCGCAATTATAGACCAATCGACGCTGAATTTCGCATGTAGCTTGAGTTTAGGGCGGGGAAGAAGCCTACCAATTTGGGTAGTCATCGGATAATATTTAGCGGGTAAAATAGACCATATCTTTTGTGTTGAAAAAATTCAAAATTTTTCATTAAACCGCGAATATTTTAAGTCCCGGCGAAATCACAAAGCCATGACAAGGTAACTTCTGATCTTTACATTGATGTTAACATCCAACAAAACGGATATATAGCAAAATATTTGCGATATATGTATGTTTATCAAAGAAGATATGCTTGAAAAATCTCTTATATGTCGAGAACGGCTGAACTGATTTCGACAGTTCTCATTAATTCAGAATGGCCTCTTGGCAGGAAAGAAAAAACGTCTAAAAAAATCGCATAAAAATATCTCTCTAAAGTTGAAAATATTGATTTTGTAACATTTTCTCATATTTTTTCAATTTTGTCATATTTTCATTTTGAATTAAACATTTGGTAATATTTCTACAGCTAACAAAACTAAGTAGTTAGGATATCAGGATATCATATGCAGATCGCATTTATGGCCCGATCCTTAAGAAATTTTGCATGGGGATAAGATGAGGGTCAGAATAGAAGCCTACTCTTTTTGGAGATGATCCCCATATATTTAGGGGTTGAAATGGACCAAAGAACTGCAAAATTGTCGGCAGGTCGTAATTATTGCCCGATCCTCACGCACATTTGAATGGGGGTTACCGCACATTGCAAAAGCCAAGAAATTTCGGATGGCCATCCAAAAATATTCAATGTGTGAAATAGTTTGCCAACTTTTGTAGACAAAATACGAAAATGGCCATTCCAATGACTTTTTGGAGAATTCACAAATACAGGAAAGACGCACTTCTGACTATTTCGTTAACGCTGATTTCGTTGAAGAATATAGTCAAATGTCTGTATCTCATATAGATGCGTTTCAGTCAAAAACCAATAATAAATGTTAATCTTTTGCCACTTCTGAGGATTATAGGTCTTTGGGAAATATTGGTTCCAGATCTAGAAAGACCATTTAAGTGCAACATCTACCAATAAATTGGAAATGAGCAAATTAGTTTAAGTTGCTATTATTCGAAAATTAGAGAACGGAACCTGATGGTTTTCTTTTATTATTTGTCACAATATCTTGTGGAATTCTTTCGAGTATCTCGCCTATATAAACTGTATCGTTTATTATAGTGTTGTAGGGTATTCAACGGTCGACTGTAGCCTTTGCTTACTTGTTTTTTTTAATTTTATTGAATGAAAGTAAAAAATGTCGGAAATAGCATCAAATTTTAGAATAAGCTAAGATTTGTTCGAATTGGTCACCTTTGGCACGAATTATGGCCTTCAAACGGTCAATGAAACCGTCACACGATGCCCGAATGTTGCTCTGCGGTATTTTGGCCCATTCCCGGTGAAGCGCTTGCTTGTGGCGATCGACACCTTGGTATTTTTTAGTGCCAACCTTGCTATCCAAAATACTCCAGACACAATAGTCCAACGGATTGGTATCGGAGATTTTGGTAGCCATTGTGCGCTGGAAATGAAGCAAGGAACCTCATTTTGTAACCATTCTTGGGTGGCGCGTGCTGAGTGCGATGGTGCTGAGTCCTGTTGGAATGTCCAAGGTCTGCGGCAAGTTGCGCATTTTCAACTGACCTCATTGGCAAGTAAACACGATCATTTTGTTTGTTTACAAACTGCTGGACAACGAATGTTTTCTCATCGGAGAAAACCAAATTCGACAGTTTACCAGCTTTAGCTCTTTAGTTCTTTTGAGTCTATTTTCTTTCTGTTGCGGTTTATTTTTGGAATTTCAGTGGCTTTATCACGAGCTCATTTTTCAATATTTGCCGAATGGAATATTGTGATATGTTCAGCTCACGACCATTTTTCGGACACTGCGACGCGGGTTTCGATCAAGTCGCTTCTTTACTTTTCGAACCATTTTTGCTGATGTTGCTGTTTTCTTCCTTGACGTCGGGCTACGCTACCAGTATCACGGTAACGAGCGATGGTACGAAACACAAATGATTTATTCACATTTAAATGCTGGAGTGCTCTTACGATAGCCACTTGCGGTTTTCCAGTCAACTATAAAGAAATCACACTATCACGCTTGAATTCCATCACGAATAACTTTTTTTCTGGACAATTCTTACCAAAATGCTTTTGTACGCTTGTAAATAATATAATGAGCTATAACTGGAATAATTTTAAGAGCTGTCAGACGAGTGGCTTAGAAGTGAAGTTGGTTGAAGTTTTTTCATCTCACCCGACCAAATTTCATCAAATGAAAAAATTCATTTGAATATGAAAAAATTATTCAATTTGGGCTGTTGTTACAATCGGATGAAGATGTATGTAGAAGGTATATACTAGTCTGAACCGATCTCGATAAAATTTGGTAGATGTATTTTCGAGCTGCATTTGATGTCCGACTTTTCGATTTACACCAAAATTTGAAGTACTTGCTTCTAGACTGAATTCCGTTGGAAGTGCGAAAATTACATTTGGATACATTTGGGCTGATATTAGCCATTTGCTGCACAATAAACTTGAAATCGATTATCTTCAATTTCAATAGGCTTCGTCCTTCGGTCAAATAAATTATTTGTGCAAAATATATTGTAATATTGTTTACAAAAATACATGGACAGACGGACGAACAGACATAAATCGACTCAAAATCTGATTCTATGCAGATCATCAAAGGGACCCACATTGGTCCTATCTCATTTCGATTTTAAAAGCCAAATGTCAGAGAATTTTGTGGAGAAATATGGTCAATTTTATTGTGAGGCTATTACGAAGGTCGGATACATACTCACTTACTGGGACTAGACCTAAAAAAATAAAGAATGCCAAAGGCATTGCGGTCGGCAGGATCGCAAGCCTAAGGCCTTTAACTAAATTTCGACATATATAGAAAATTCACAGTCAATTCAGATAAATTCAGTAAAGAAAAGTCAAAGATGGTGTAGGCCGACTTTGCATATTTAGAAAATGTATCCATAACAAATTAACATTTTTATGGGTAATGTATTCGAATTAAATCATATCAATGGGTATGATTGGGTATTATGAAGACATATGTGGGTTCTGTATCAAAATTTGAATCGCAGAGTTTGTCTTTGGACGACCACACACCCGAAACTTGTTCATTGATGTTATTTTTAGCAAGGGAAGACTATAATGTTTATTTCATTTCCAATAAAATAACTTTGGTTAAAACAAAAGCTTCTGTTTTGATACAACAAAATTTGACTCACAATAACAAGTTAGTAATTTGTTTTATTGTATATACTTGAAAATATTTATTTGTTTACATTTTACTTAAACACATTTAATTTCTTTGTTCTAAATAATCTATGTACACTGTGCGCAGATACTATTTTATTATTATTATTTTTTTTTTTTTTTTTTTTTTTTGTAAATTTTACGTTTCAATTTCATTCAACGCCGTTATCAAATCTAAATATCTCTTGTCGCCTTATCAATATAATATAAAAGTAATACATATTGCATATGTAGTGGTTTTTATTAGCGTTATTGCAAGTTGGAAATAAAATGCGAGGGGGCGCTATAACAGTTAAATGCAGGAAAAAGTATAATATTCAACAATAAAGAATTTTCTAACTTAGTTTACAGTTATTATATTCCAAACGAATAGTAAGTGCCAATACCCGCCTATAAAGATTGGCGAAAATAAGAGCGTGTTTTTATGAGAGGGAGAGCGCCGAGGAAAACTAACCTTCCTTCTCTGGTGACTCTGGTGACGACTACAATTGTAAACCTATTCTTGAAAACAGCTTCCTCTGTCACAACATTGCTAATATAGGTCCACGTTTTTCTGTATCTCCATATAATGGTTCCTCCCGATATTCGGTATTCCTACGATTTTAACCACATTTGTGGTTTGTAATACGATCAATCTCCTGTTGCAGTAGGTTGGCTAAATAGCTCCATGTATCTTATATCTCCTAATTTGGTGTAGCCATACCACCCGCTTTATGCTGTTTTGCAGACTTTAACTGCAATCTTCAACCTATTTCGCTGGCAAAAATTAAACTCGCTAGAATATTAAATACCGATCGTTATATTTTTAAAGGTATTATTTACCTAACAATCGAGGGAATTTAAAGTTCCGCCCTGCCGAAATCAACGCTTTTTTGCTTCGTTTTTCAATTCTCGATTAAGTCGTCAATGGTCATATATTCTTTTCAAAATATCCTTTACCATTTATTAAAATTGTGACAATGCAGTCCTTGTTTAATTATTTTTTAATTATTATTTTAATTCACAATTATTTCTTGTAAAAGTGTCCTTACAAAAAAGCACGATTAGTTCATCAAATAATGTTTTTAATATATTTTAAATTCCAGCATAATCTTATAAAATTACTTTTTAAAATACACTTAAAAATTCATGATAAGTCATGGATCGCTGATATTTTTACCCTTCAAAAGTCAAGAATATTATAAATGCTCCTAGAAAAAATATCCTTAAAAATTTACAATTACGTCGCAAATTGCCATTTAAAAATATTCTAGCAAATTTACAAATTTAAGGTATATTACAAATATCCGTTACATTCCAGGATAATACCTTGAATCAAAGTCATCAATAGATCTTGCAATTAAAAAAAATTTGTTTTATATTCCACAATTTCGAAATAATAATGTTTATTAAAAGTTGTAGCTAAAGGAATCATTAAAGGCCCGATTATACCAGTAATGGTCTATTAAAAGAAGTAAGCAGGGCTATAGTCTGGCGGGGCCAACCATTTGATACCCTGCAACATGAAAATTTGCGGTAAAGTTTCTGCAGATCTGAAAACCTTTTGACTAGAATGAAGATATGGGAAAAAACAGCATGAACGTAATGACCAGAGGTGCGCTTTTAAAATTTCGACAATAGTTTAATACTTTCACACAAAATTGTGATCCACTTCACATGCTAAATATTATCCGATGACCATCCAAAATGACAGGCGTCAGCACTGTCCTAAACTCTAACCTCATAAAAAATTCCATATCTCTTGGTCCTTAGATGAAAACTGTAGGGTTACTGCAAAATCTAGACAATGTTTATGTTTTATGGTCCACTTTAAACCCTTTTGCGAACATATTCCCAAAACTATAGGCTTCTATCGTAATCCTACCCCTACCCAATGCAATTTCGTAAAGATCTGAGTATAATTGCGAACTGAATATAATATTCCTAACCCGTAGTTTTTTAAAGTAAGCCCAGTAAAAAAAGGCCAAATTCGGGCTGGGCCGACTTTATGATACCCTACACCCCTTTGCATGTATTGTAGAGCTACATATAAAAAGTAAACGCTTTTAAGGGGAATTTATGAGAATTAAAACATACCAAATATGATAGTTTTTGAATGCGTATTATTCATCAAAATCCATCCTACTTGAGCTGATCTAACATTTTTTAAGTGAAGATATATATGGGAGCCATATACAAATTTGAACCGATCTCTATAAAATTAAGTAGAGGTATTTTTATGTTGAATCTTGTGAAATTGCATGTAGATTTATCTATAGTTTATCAAACTGACAATATCCCCAACACATAGTGTTGTAGGGTAAAAAAGTCCCTTGATTTCCGAGATATACACCATATTGTCCACCTATAATAGCGAAATGCCGACTTTTTGTTGTTTTCACTCGACGATCTGAACAATGTTGAACACTCTTATCGATAACACGTTAGATTTTTAAAAAGCCCTCTCCCAACTTTGATAACTTTTTTTTTTTTGTCTGAAGTCGGTCTACAATTTTGGTAACGATGAAGTCATATACATACATGTGTTTACAAAAACAATGCACATTAGCATTGTTAATACTAGATACCAGCTAGCAGTGTTCAAACCGTCGAACAGTGACTCCATGTAAACAAACACGAATCGAACAGTTGGAAAATTTGTCAGCTTTGGGAATTTTGTAATTTGTCAAGAGATATCTCAATTTTTCAAATTCTTGGTATGAAATTATTGAAAAACCCTACAATTCCCGATTTTGCCACAAAGTCTAGTTGTAGGCGATTTTTGGTCAGGGAATATTAAAAAAAAAATAATCTGGAAATATTCTTAAAAATCTTCTATTTTGGTCAAGTCCACCTGGGAAAGGGGGTATATTAAATTTGTCATTCCGTTAGTAACACCTCTAAATATTCGCAATAGAAAAACTGCAGCCAACTTCAGACTGCTGTCATTTCTGAGCCACTAGTTCGGCAGCTATTAAAATTATTCCAGTGCAAGCTCATTATATTGTTTATAAGCGTACAACAGCATTTTGGTGTGAATATTCAAGAAAAAATGTTATCCGTGATGGATTTCAAGTGTGATAGTGTGATTTCTTTATAATTGTCTGGAAAACTACAAGTGACTATCGTTAGAGCACTACAGCATTTAAATGTGTGTCTCGTACCATCGCTCGTTACCGTGATACTGGTAGCGTAGCCCGACGTAAGTGGACGAAAAAAACAGCAACATCAGCAGAAATGGTTCGACAAGTAATGAAACAACTTGATCGAAACTCGCTTCGCAGTGGCCGAAAAATGGCTCGTGCGCTGAACATATTGCAATATTCCATTCGGCAAATATTGAAAAATGAGCTCGTGGTAAAGCCGTTAAAATTTCAAAAAGTACAAGAACTTACACCGCAACAGAAAGAAAATCGGCTCAAAAGAGCTAAAGAGTTGCCTCGCTTGGCCGAAAGTGGTGAACTCCGATGAGACAACATTCGTTGTCCAGCAGTTTGTAAACAACCAAAATGATCGTGTTTACTTGCCAAAGAGGTCAGCTGAAAATGTGCACCTTCGGTTGGCCACCAGAGCACAAATGCCAGCAATGGTGATGGTGTGGGCCGCCATAACAACCGATGGTCGCTCTCCGCTTATCCGAATAAATGCCGAATATTATCGCGAAAATATTCTGGAGGGTGTATTAAAGCCTTGGGCACGCAAACATTTTGGCCACAGACCTTGGACATTCCAACAGCACCATTGTACTCAGCACGCGCCACCCAAGAATGGTTACAAAATGAGGTTCCTCGCTTCATTTACAACACACAATGACAACCAATCCGTTGGACCTTTGGGTCTGGGGTATTTTGGAAAGCAAGGTTGGCACTAAAAAATACCAAAGTGTCGATCATCTGAAGTAAGCGCTTCGCCGGGCATGGGTCAAAATACCGCAGAGCAACATTCGGGCAGCGTGGGATGGTTTCATTGGCCGTTTGAAGCCATAATTCCTACCAAAGGTGACCAAATCGAACAAATCTAAACTTATTTTTTTTATCTCACCCTGTATACTTTTTTCCACATACAACCAAACATTTTGATGAGTCACTTCCGAGATCTATTGTATACAAAACAACACTTTGGAATAAAACAAACAAACAATATTTCCCCCTTCTTTATATTTGGCGATAAGATTGTTTGGAACACTGTGCAATACACACTTGTCATAAAATAGTTTTCTTTTTTTTTCTTCAAATAAATAAATATGGAAATTGCGTCGAAATGCATTTTACTGAAACATTACATTAATTCTTTCTTTCACTCGCAATATTACCTTTTAATAAAAATTCAATATTATTATGGAATCTGTTGTTGTTGCATTTACAAAATTAGGTCACATTCGTTGATTACATTGGAACTAAACACATTTTGTTTCTATAGATTACAGACCGATTTCAAAATATATTATATCACGTTTTCATGACAATACTTTTAGTTTAATTTTTTTATTTTATTTAGATTCTATAATAAAATTACTATAATTTTTGGTTTTAACATTAGATTTCACAATATTTATTTTTTTCCGGTGAAAGAAATTTCTTCAATTCGTAATATATAGTATTTTTTTTTTGTATTTCTTTCGTTGTTTTTAGTTTTTGTTCGTTTGTCATCTAAATCTCGTTAAATACTGTGGAATGGGTTCTTACTCACCTGTCGTAGTGCGGCAGTTGGGCGCTCTGGCCCCACATTATCATTTCCAGTCCATTCCAATCGCATTGATAAGATAAGCGGCAAAAGGCACTATTCACGGAGACCCACGGCTTGGTACTCAATAAAACAAGTGATAAAGAGTAACAGTTTTTTTCGGATTATTAAGTAGAGCAAAGTTTTGCTTTCCAATCTGAAAGAAATGAAAATAAAAACACAACTAAATACTGTCTAAGTTCCAATAGGTTTGGTATTGCATTCGATTGGGAGGAGAGAATAATGAATTTTAATTTCAATACATACAGTGGCTCAAGGGAACATGAATATAAACATGGAATTTAAAAACAATTTTTTTTATATTTGGATAATTTTAGTAAATTCTCTCGAATACACTGTGTGGTAAAAGTTAATTTTTCAATAATTACAGGAAAAATCTAGCAAATTATGAAAGTAGAGGCTAAACATAGAAGGCACGTGTATCGGTGTATTAAAAGCTTACATCGCATAGTAACCTAAAAAAACGGGGACAATCTACTTCCTCTTCACACTTTTGCAAAATTTCGGATTAAGATTACTTGGAATCCGCTCATTTTAGTCACAATAAAATTTCCCTTTATTCGGAATCAAGGGCGTGTCTACATAATAAGGAAAATAAAATAGAAACAAGTAAAAAAACATTAAGTTCGGCCGGGCCGAACTTTGGATACCCTCCACCATTTGGAACAAATTTTGTAATTAAAAAAAATAATAAAATCCGTTAAAAATTCTGTTAAAATCTTAAAAATACTAAAAGTAGCCGTATATTAGGGTATATACGAGGACGTGGATCTGCATAGGCAACTTTTGGCATAAGCTTTTACAATATTCAAATGCGAAACTTGAAAAAAATGTGTGATTTCTTTATATTTGGTTGGAAACCACAAGTGGCTATCGTGAGCTGAACATATCGCAAAATTCCACTCGGCAAATATTGAAAAATGAGTTCGGGGTAAAGCCATTGAAATTCCAAAATATATCCAAATGTTGTCCAACAGTTTGTAAACAAACAAAATGATGGTGTTTACTTGCCAAAGAGATCAGCTGAAAATGTGCACCTTGGGTTGGCCACCAGAACTCAAGCGCCGGCCATGGTAATGTTGTGGGCCGCCATAACAGCCGATGTTCGCTCTCCGCTCGTATTAATCGACCGTGGCATAGAATAAATGCCGAATATAATCGCGAAAATATTCTGGAGGGTTTATTAAAGCCTTGGGTATGCAAACATTTTGGTCGCAGACCTTGGACATTCTAACAGGACTCAGCACTCGCAGTCCAAGAATGGTTACAAAATGAGGTTCCTCGTCCAGCGCACAATGGCCACCAAAATCTACGGATGCCAATCCGTTGGACTACTGTGTCTGAAGTATTTTGGAAAGCAAGGGAGGCAGTAATAAATACCAAATTGTCGATCACCTCAAGCAAGCGCTTCGGCGGGAATGGGCTAAAATACCGCAGAGCCACATTCGGGCAACTTGTGACGGTTTCATTGACCAAATCTAAACTTATTCTAAAATTTGATGCTATTTCCGATATTTTTTTGCTTTTATTCAATAACATTTAAAAAAAATGTAAAATTATGGCGTATGACTTTGTTGCAGATTTTTTATCTCACCCTGTATCTCTTCACTCAATATCAAATTAGGAAGCATTTTGTTATTTTCGTACAGTGAAAGCACGCATTTTCAAAACAATCTTCATATCTCCAACTCAGTTACTAACAGTGACCTGTCCAAAATCAGATTTTTATGTCAGTCACATACACTAATAGTGATATCCATATCAAATTTCAGAACTTCAGTTCTATCCCTTCACCTATCTAGTAAACATATGCAACACAATATATATCTCTCCATCCTAGACACCATTTGGAACGAATTAGAAAATTTTCAAAAAAAAATAAAATCCATTAAAAATTCTTTTAAAATCTTTAAAATATCTAATATAGGAAGATGCCGAAATATGGGGGGGATATACGATATTGTGGACCTATAAAGACAAATCTAAAAGTACTCACAAGAAACTCCTTGTGTGGATATTCAGATAATTCCATTGGAAAAAGTGGCTAAAATCATCAAAATACCGAATATAGGGGAGTACCGTTATAGGGGGGATATACGATATTGTGGACCTATATAGACAATTCCGTTTCAGGGGAAAAGTGCTCACAAAGAACTCCGTGTATGGATTTTCAGACAATACAATTGGAAAATGTGGCTAAAAACATCAAAATACCGAATATCGCTGGGTACCGTTATATGGGAGCTATACGTTATCCTTAACCTACATAGAGAATTGGTGCTCACAAAGAACCCCTTGTATACAAAGAACCCCTTGTGATCATTCCTTTGAAAAATATGGCTAAAAACATCAAAATACTGACTATCAAGGGTACCGTTATATGATGGCTATACGATATCGTGGACCTATATAGATAATTCTCTGCCGAGGTATAAAGTATCCTCAAGGAACTCCTTGTGTGGATTTTCAGACAATTCCGATGAAAAATGTGGGTAAAATCATCAAAATACCGAATATCGGGGGGTACCGTTATATGGGGGATATACGATATCGTGGACCTGTATAGACAATTCTCTCTCAGGGGGTAAAGTACTGACAAGGAACTACTTGTGTGGATTTTAAGACAATTCCATTGAAAAATGTGGCTAACATCATCAAAATACCGAATATCGGGGGGTACAGTTATATGGGGGATATACGATATCGTGGACCTATATAAACAATTCTTTTTGAGGGGGTAAAATGCCCACAAGGGACTCCTTTCGTAGAATTTCAGACAATTCCATTGAAAAATGTGGCTAAAATCATCAAAATACCGAATACCGTGGGGGTACCGGTACATGGGGGCTATACGATATTGTGGACCTATATAGATAATTCTCTGCCGAGGTATAAAGTACCCACAAGGAACTATGTGTGTGGATTTTCAGACAATTCCATTGAAAAATGTGGCTAACATCATCAAAATACCGAATATCGGGTGTACCGTTATATGGGGGCTATACGATATTGTGGACCGATATAGCCCATCTTCGAACTTGACCTGCCTGCAGACAAAAGAGATTATTTTTTTATTTTTTTTATTACGATGAGTTACAAACGGAATGACGAACTTAATATATTCTCCATACTTTTTTTGGTGGAGGGTATAAAAAGCTAGAAGTTCACCTTCTGTGTATTTCGGATAACATCTGTAAGTAATGTTGGTATTTTTTCACACAAAAGTAGTGGTTCATTCTTCAAATTGTCAAATTGAAACAAATTGAAAAAATTGGCATGCTATAAAAAATGTGAAATAATAAAAAAATGTCACAAAATACTACAAAACCTATATTAACATCATCATTGGCATCTTTTTATGTGATTTTTTAGATTTTATACTTTTATGCCATTCTGAATTGACAAAATTTGTCAAAATCGGGCCATCGAGCCCCATGCTTCCGCGTCGATTTTTCTACAATTGCGACCATCCATATATACTTTCCTATGTGGGAGACCAATATTTCCAGGGGTTACATAATTTTTTGCCCAATCAAACTTATAATACCCCCAATACATAGTGTTGTAGGGCATAAAAATGCAATTAATGTATGTTCTATCGTTTACAAAAATTCAATCAATCGTTTAATACGATGACATCACAAATCTTTGAATTTATTAAACAACCTATTAAAGAATGTGTTTTCCTTCTTAACTTGTTTTACAGCAAAGGATACGAAAGGATACTGATCGATATTCTAAAAATTCGATGCTGTTCGAATATTTGCAGATGAAGCCCATGATTAGGCTACATAGTATATAATTGATCTCAATGATCAATCTTTCGGTGTGTGAAAACGTTTTAATCACAATCGACACATACTACCCGCTCCCACATTATTGAGTAGGGATATGTTCAATTAATATTTGAAATTGAAATTCCATACTTGTACCTTTCAATAAAATATGAGTACAAATAACGTACAAAATAATTTTATGTAGTAGTTTACCGACTGATTTCATACAAAATGCTTCGATGCGATATTTTAATTATACTTGTGTGGCTTCATGTATGTATTTTGTTATTGAAATACATTTAGTGTCCCCGGATTTGATTTTAATATAGGAATGTTTATCTTTTTTGCAGAGTGTCCATGGAGAAGCCCATTTAAAACTGACAAATTTGCAATGCGAACCAAGTCCTAAGTATTTTTATAATCACACATGTCGCCTAAAAGCCGTTGATCGATATAAAACTACAGCCAGTATGAATACTCTAATCAAGGATATTTTGAGAAATATAACCGTAAGTTAATGATTTCAGTCCCATCAGACGTGACTCTTATTCGTCTGATTTAAAAAAAAAAACTATGCCCTTTAAAATGTCGGTGGGTGGCCAAGGAATAACTAAAAAATTTTTAATCACCTTGCAAAAATAATGGGTAATAAATTGATATGTAAGTATTTACGATTGCCAAAATATTCCGGTAGGATAATCATTATTTGACAATAGAAAAATTGATCTACAGGGTGAGATAAAAAAACTGCAACAAAGTCAAATGTTATAATTTTTTTTAATTTTATTGAATGAAAGCAAAAAAAATGTCGGAAATAGCATCAAATTTTAGAATAAGTTTAGATTTGTTCGAATTTGTCACCTTTGGAACGAATTATGCCAATGAAACCGTCACACGCTGCCCGAATGTTGCTCGGCGGTATTTGGGCCCATGCCCGGCGAAGCGCTTGCAACGTGCCAACCTTGCTTTCTAAAATACTCCAAACACAATAGTCCAACGGATTGGTATCCGGAGATTTTGGTGGCCAGTGTAGGCTGGAAATGAATCGAGGAAACTCATTTTGTAACCATTCTTGGGTGGCGCCTGCTGAATGCGATGGTGCTGAGTCCTGTTGGAATATCCAAGGTCTGCGGCC